TATATTAGGACAGTATCGGCCCGATCCCCGATGCCAGTATCGGTATCGGGCCATCCCTAATGGCAACAATATGCAATCGTGGAAAGTACCATGAAATTCACATTTTTTTCAAAAAACTCATTTTATTTAAAACAAGACTCAACAAATCCATCTCATACTTAGTGAAATGTTTAAACAAACATTTATACAGTAAAAACATTATATAATAATTTGAACAATTATCTGAAATGTCTGGTAATAATAACCAGGAACCTGGAACCTGTCTCACTGAAATACACTGTATTCATCCGTTTCACTTCATTCAGTCAGTCATTTTTTGCTGTTTTATTGCATTTCATTCTCTTCATGCCTTGTGAAAGTCAACAAAGCAGTTCCTCTCTGCAGTGAAGCAGAGGAAAACTGCACACTTGGAGCACTTGCTTCTCACAATGCCCTTGCATCCTGGCATTTTGCATCTGCCCTTCTCAGATGCATGCAAGGGCCAGTGGTCTGTGCGTTCTCTACGGACAGGATCTGGCGGGACAAAGCTTTGGGGCCCTCTTTTATTTTTCCCCACCACAACAGCTTGTGAAGGTCTCCCCTTCCTCTTGTTTCTCACCTTGCTCTCCATGCACAAGCATGAGGCCACTTGCATTTAGGCCACAGCCACGCATTTACCAGGGTCTTAAACTATGTATAAGAAAATTATGTCTTACTTTATTTATTGTTTAATAGCCAAGACTTGAGAGAATCATTTTATAAAGTCAAAGATTTTCGCAAAAAAATTTCACATTTTGTGTGTGAATAAAATTTTAATATTGTGAGACACAATTTCCACTGTTAAACAAACTTTTATTTCAAACTAACCGTTAAATCTGACATTAGTCAGAGACACATCCACCAAACCGCAGGTACACAAGATTATTTGTTAAGATGCAAAATTGAATCACAATCTCACAAACATAAAAACAAACATTTAACTTTAATATAAAGAGATTTTTTATTGTCCTCCATCTATCAATTCCATCTCTCCATATACTAACTATCCACTCTTCTATACTGTCCTTTCTCCTCTTCTCACATGAAAAAACCAAACACATGCTTCCTGTACTCATTCGCCATGATAAACTCCTGGCAGATGTTTTCCTTGCTGACTTTATCCAGCATTTCTTTGTGAATGTGACAGACTGCTACATTGTTAATGCGAATCTGTAACATTGTGCTTCTCAGCCAGGTCTTCAACCTCCTCAGAGCACTGAAGCTCCTCTCTGCTTCCGCAGAGGCAGTAGGAACAACCATAAGTAGTCGAATAAGTGCTTCAACTTGGTTGAAAAGTCCACGGACTTCAGGCAACTGATTCCTCAGAATAGTAACGGCCTCTGAAGTGGTTGTGTATGAGTATTGGAGCTTAAACATATTCAGCTGCACTTTCAGTGACATTTCATTTAATTCAGGATACTGGTCCACCACAGCAGTGTCTACATCCCCAGTTAGGAGGGCTTCCTCCAGCTTCGTCAGTGTTTTCAGACTTCCCTGATCAAACCTCTCCTTCAGCTGGATGTCCACAGTATCCAGCACCTTGAAGAAATCAGCTCTGTAGTGTTCTTCTGGGGTTGTAGGTGTGTGTGTGCAGTAGTGACATTACCAATGAAGCGTTTAGGTGGACGGCGGATGTGGGGCATGGTTATGGGCTCAATATTTAGCTTGGTAATCATCTCTGTTGCGTGGCTGTATATCTCCTGGAACTTCTCCTCAGTTCTCTTTGCCCTCAGGGTGGTCCTTACACAATCTGCTGCAGAGAGCATACCAGACACTGTTTCTGTTCGCTTCTGCAGTGTGCAATTAAGGCACTCCAACTCTTGGATTACTTCAGTGGCCATCATGAGCCCTAAAACTGTGGTACCTTTTCCAAACCTCTCCAGCAGCCCTCTTGCTGTCACACCAGTGTTTGAGGCATCTGTTTGGGCCATGTCCTCTAAGCTGAGTAGCACGGACTCGTACTGACGTAGCACAGACCAGATTGCTGGAGTCCTGGTTGTCCATCTTGTTTGACACAAGGGTTGCAGGTTGTTAACTGTCCCAGATGCTGCAGCTGCAATATTCACAAATTTTGTTTTGTATTTGCCTGACATTTTGTACAGACAGCCAAGCTTGTGGACCCAATCCAGGGCATCAGATGTCAGTGATGACGCTGTACAAGCAGCCTGGCTGACCAGATTTGCACAGTGGATGCCACAGTGTACATACAAAGCCAGTGGCTGCATCTCCCTTATCCTGGCCTGTGCTCCCTTTCTGTTGCCTGACATGTTCGCTGCTCCATCATATGTTTGTCCACGCAGGCCAGACAGCGGAAGATTCAAGCGCAACAACACATCTGTGGCAACTTTTGCTAGGTTTTCCCCAGTAGTGCATGAGACTTCGTAAAACCCCAAGAAGACCTCGTGAGGGACCAAATCATGGTCTACATACCTGACACATATGGCTTCCTGTTCAGTTCCTTCAATGTCCTGTGTTCCATCAATAATAATGGAATATTGGAGGAGAGGCAGCATGTGAATTGAGCTAATGATTTCCCTAATTATGCTGTTTGCAAATAGATTTAAAAATTCATTCTGGATTTTGGGGGATGTGTAATCATGTTTTCTTGTTGACAGCCATTTCTCTAAGCCAGGGTCATCTTCACATCTTACTTTCAGTAACTGGTTTAAGTTACCCTCTTCAGCTTCATGGCCCCTAAGAGCAGCTCCCTGGCGTGCCAAGAGCTGTACAGAGCCCGCAATTTTCATGAGACACCGTCTTGATTCCTGTTGCTGTGCAGCTTTGGCTGAAGATAACTGGACATCTACTGGTTTTGTTTTTTGGCAGTGGGTGGTGATTGCAACTTTGTGTGCATTACTTTGGACATGTTCTGAAAAGTTTTGAGTTGCCTTTTTCCAGTTTCGGAAACCAGTTTTGAAAAATGTTGGATCTGCATTCTTGGCCAAATTAGATTTTTCATGCCCAAAAGCCCAAAAGAAAAAAGCATAAGATTCCATTGACTCCTGAACTGTAGTGGAGCCAAGGAAATTCACGGTACCACTTTTCTTGGAACCTTACGTTTTGTTGGTGAGCTGCTGCACTGCAATGAGCTTCGGGTTAGCGTGGTTGGGTTCAGCATCCTGCTTGCCTACCTGCACTTCTGCGCCTGTTCCATCTTTCCTATGAAATATGAAAATGTGCTAGCCTGTTTCTGACATGACAATTCAAATTAATTATCTGACCCTTTACACAGCACATACCTGCAACTCAGGTACAAAAGAGCTACTTCTCCCTGTCTCACTCTCCTTGTCTTTAAGCAGTTTCACCTCATCTGTTCTCTGATATGAAAGCATGGCACAAATAAAAATAAACAAAAGTTCATCACAACTGAAACTATATTATAACGGTCAACAATCAGGGCCTGACTCTTTGTTTCTCTCGTAAATAATATGAAACCACACCCATGTGATGATGACCATGTTAAAAAAAAATATTCTAAACAAATAAAAACATGCACTTTGGCTCCTACAAGAAGAACATTTAATTTGATAATATTCAAACTGTATTCACTACTTATGTACAATTCTTCCCTTTTATCACCAACAAATCAAAATCACCTGGCCTTTCATACAGCACATAACCGACCTGTAACGTTGTGCTGCTGTTATGAATCACGTGAGTCTGGGGAATCCAAATGCAGCGAGTTTATTAGAAAGCGGAGTCAAACAGGCAAAGATCAAGATCAGAGGCAAACAGCAGTATCAGAGGAAATCCAGGGATAGTCAGCAGGCGATGGTCGAGGCAGGCGGCGAGTAGACAGGAGTCGGTATCCAGGCAGAGGTAAGTAACACAGGAAACAGGCAGACGAGAACAAAGATCAGGACAATAATAAGCCGGGGCAATGCAATACTTCGCAGAGAAGTGGTGTTTGGAAGTGGTTTATATGTGTGTGTAAATGGAGTGCAGGTGTGTGTCCAATCAGTGCCGTGCAGGTGTATGGTGTTTGGTGTAATCAGTCCAGGGAGGTGTATGATGGGAAATGTAGTCCAAGTAAAACCAGGAAGTGCGTGGCTAATCGTGACAGCTGCTACTGCTTCTCCCTGTCTCACCCTCTCTGTTCTGAAGCAGCTCCACCTCATCTGTGCTCTGATATGAAAATGACTGAGTTATGATCATATTGGCCCTCATTTATCAAAAGTGCGTACACCAAATTTCCAGCGTACACCTGGCGTACACCCAAAACCACGGTGACTTTGAGATTTATCAATATGGACGTTGGCGTACGACACGCTCAAATCCTACGCCAGCTCAGAGGTGGTGTACGCACGTTTGAGTTAGTGCAGAAATGCGCAGAAAAACCTAACATCACAAAACGCACTGACAAACTAAAAGATGATATATTATGACCCACTGTAAAAAAACAACAACAACAACAAAGTTATTATAAACTTCAGTGTTTATTTTTGTGCAACATGGACTTCAATGTTTAATTTGTGTGACTTTACCAAAGCATTTGATTTGTAGGAATATGTATTCCTTCAGTTGCGAGCCTGTGCGCTTTACCTGACGTTTCAGTTTCAGGGTTAGGTGGTGCGCACGGACTGGGCTCAGTAATGAAAGGCTTTCAATGACCAAAAAATAATTCAGACTGACAAAATAATAAAAATGACATTCTTCTTCTTTTAAATAATTATAATAATAATACAAATAATAAAAACGACATTCTTCTTCTAAATAACAATAAGAAGATTATAATAAAACTTAATAAAAATCATAAGAATAATGATAAGAATATTACAAATTGTCATACAATTATTAATGTGAATGAATGGTACTCCACATCACATCATCATCACTATTGTACACCCCAATACATGTGACGTGATACGAAATTAAATGCTAATTGTTTCAAAACACGTGCTGTAAAATAATGTATTGTGAGAGGTCATTTGCTCATCCAAACAGCTATTTAAACTGGATTTTCACCGTACACCGTATCAATGATGGCTGACCTGGCGCTTTTAGAAGACGCATATGCGCCCTTGAGAAGGGAAAGAGTATTTCAGGATAGGCGAGATTTTCTGAATGAATCAGATGAATGGCTGATGAGCAGATTCCGTCTTCCAAGGCATCTTCTCCTGGAGCTGTGCAATAACCTGGAGCCCTACCTCCAACGTGAGACCCGGCGGTCAAGGGCCTTACCTGTCCCAGTCCAGGTTCTCTCCACACTGGGGTTCTTGGCCACTGGAACCTTTCAACGGGAGATTGCTGACAGGTCTGGCATATCCCAACCCACCATGAGCCGCATGCTGTCATCCGTGCTGGCTGCCATCAGGACTCTCATCCCACACTACATCCAATTCCCATACGACAATGCCCAGCAAACAATGATTAAAAGGGGGTTTTATGAGATTGCTGGGATTCCAAATGTCATAGGTGCAATTGACTATACCCACGTGCGTCTGAAACCGCCATCGGTTAATGATTACGCATACATCAACCGCAAAAATTATCATTCAGTCAATGTGCAAATTATTTGTGATGCCAGACTCCGCCTATTAAATGTTGTGGCACTATGGCCTGGAGGCACCAACGATGCCTTCATTTTTGAGCACAGCAGCGTGCGCAGACGGCTGCAGGAGGGCGCATTGAGGGGTCATGGTTATCTTTTAGGTGAGTACTAAGAGCAAATATATTTTGCAAAATATAATCGTTTCCTAACCTCTCTTTTCCCCTTTAGGTGACAGGGGTTATCCTCTTTTGGACATTTTGATCACCCCTGTGCCAAACCCCGTGACGCATCAGGAGCGCAACTTCAACCACGCGCACGCACGAACACGAGCCACTGTGGAGCGCTGCGTGGGGCTCCTAAAAGGTAGATGGCTCTGCCTGGCACACGCGGGGGGCACGTTGCTCTATTCGCCAAAGAAGGTGTGCAACATCATTTTGGCATGTGCCGTCTTGCACAACATGGCTGAGATAAACCGTGTGCCATTTGACGCGCTGGCCCCAGACCCAGAAGTGCCAGTAGAGCAGTGGGCAGCACCACCGGCTTTAGGAGCCTTTCAGCTCAGACGGGACCTTTTTCAGCGGTTTTAATGGTAAGTTAAAATAACACAGACTTCGATTTCATTGGTTTATTTTTTTAAGTTTTCATTTATTTGCTTTAATGTCGTATTTATTGACACCAATGAATGGTTAATTTCGACCAGTAGTCTACACATTTCTGACTGTCTTTCCAGGACCTCATCCGTCAGGACCCTTGGCCGTGGTGCACGGGAGGCTGGTGGACGGTCCTCTGCTTCCCCCGCTTGCACCTGCTCAGACTCTGGGTGGGGCGCAAGGATAGGCTCAGGCTCCTGGATGGGCTGAGGGGGAGATGCCTCGAGGGTGCTGGGGCCTGCAGTGCCATCATCTGCAAAACAATAGAGCAACATTTAAATAAAATTAGTTAACTATGGACTTATGTGTTTTTTTTATTGGTCTATCAAGTTTAAGTTTACTTACCATGAATGTCGTCGGTATCTCCCCCACCGGTGATACCTTCTAAAGACACCGTTCCGATGAGGGCTGCCACCCGCTCCTCGTTCGGTGTCAGCTGGAGGCTTGGATCCGGTGGTCCTCCCCCGGTCTGACTCTGGCTCCTCTTCAGTGCCGAGACGCGCCTCTTTGTGGCGATCTTTATATCCGACCACTTTTTTTTCACCTACAATAAACAAGAAAACTCATGCTTAACCTGATCACTGTTAGTCTATATTAAGCAATAAAACATTCTTACCTCTGCTGGAGTGCGCTTCTCAACCCCCACACTATTGACAGAACTCATAATTTGGGTCCATATTTTGTTTTTGTGGGCGCCTTTAATCCCACTCTTTAAACTCCCAAATAAAACTATTTTATTTCTTTCCACTTCCCTGGTGATGGTATCGATCTCCACGTCGGAGAAGTTTCTCTTTTTTGCCGTCTTCCGTGTGTCCATGTCGTAAAATGAGGGCGTGGGGGAAGCGGAGACTTGAATATATAGGGGCGTGTTATTCTAATGACGATCGTTTTCAGCCGCGGGATTTATCAAGGGCAGGTATTGCGTACACCTGGATTTCAAAGGTACGCACAGCTTCATAAATCAGGCGGTGAGAGGAGTGTAAGCATAATCTTACGCCAACATATACGCCCGTTTCCACGCAAGAATGATAAATGAGGGCCATTAAGTCCACCAGCGTAGCCAGAATAGAGTCTCTGGATGTACATTAGAAAAACTGGGTGTGCCACACTTATTTTCAGATTAATGTGTAAAAAATGTGTAAAGAACCCTGACTCTGCATATCAATAAGAATACTGGGCTGATGTGTAAAACTATACTCAGGCTCGCCACATAACCATAATACTATATAAAATATAGGCTAACTCAGGGCTCGACATTAAGCCTTTTCTTCGAACAAGTAAATCGGTCATTCACTGTCCAGGCAAAAAAATAGGATTTTCTTTTGTTTTAAATATAATTTATTCTCTCATCAGTGTTCAGTCAGTTTTTACATATTTAACCACTTCAGCACGGCATAACTCTGATCCCCCCCCCGGACCCAACGGTGGGTCCAATATTGCATCATCATAATCATTTAAAAAAAATCTCTAAGTTGTACAGCACAAAACTAGACATATACACTCACCGGCCACTTTATTAGGTACACCTGTCCAACTGCTCGTTAACACTTAATTTCTAAGCAGCCAATCACATGGCGGCAACTCAGTGCATTTAGGCATGTAGACATGGTCAAGACAATCTCCTGCAGTTCAAACCGAGCATCAGTATGGGGAAGAAAGTTGATTTGAGTGACTTTGAACGTGGCATGATTGTTGGTGCCAGAAGGGCTGGTCTGAGTATTTCAGAAACTGCTAATCTACTGGGATTTTCACGCACAACCATCTCTAGGGTTTACAGAGAATGGTCCGAAAAAGAAAAAACATCCAGTGAGCGCCAGTTCTGTGGGCGGAAATGCCTTGTTGATGCCAGAGGTCAGAGGAGAATGGGCCGACTGGTTCGAGCTGATAGAAGGGCAACAGTGACTGAAATAACCACTCGTTACAACCGAGGTATGCAGCAAAGCATTTGTGAAGCCACAACACGCACAACCTTGAGGCGGATGGGCTACAACAGCAGAAGACTCCACCGGGTACCACTCATCTCCACTACAAATAGGAAAAAGAGGCTACAATTTGCAAGAGCTCACCAAAATTGAACAGTTGAAGACTGGAAAAATGTTGCCTGGTCTGATGAGTCTCGATTTCTGTTGAGACATTCAGATGTTAGAGTCAGAATTTGGCGTAAACAGAATGAGAACATGGAACCATCATGCCTTGTTACCACTGTGCAGGCTGGTGGTGGTGGTGTAATGGTGTGGGGGATGTTTTCCTGGCACACTTTAGGCCCCTTAGTGCCAATTGGGCATCGTTTAAATGCCACGGCCTACCTGAGCATTGTTTCTGACCATGTCCATCCCTTTATGGCCACCATGTACCCATCCTCTGATGGCTACTTCCACCATGTCACAAAGCTCTAATCATTTCAAATTGGTTTCTTGAACATGACAATGAGTTCACTGTACTAAAATGGCCTCCACAGTCACCAGATCTCAACCCAATAGAGCATCTTTGGGATGTGGTGGAACGGGAGATTCGCATCATGGATGTGCAGCCGACAAATCTGCGGCAACTGTGTGATGCCATCATGTCAATATGGACCAAACTCCCTGAGGAATGCTTCCAGCACCTTGTTGAATCTATGCCACGAAGAATTGAGGCAGTTCTGAAGGCAAAAGGGGGTCCAACCCGTTACTAGCATGGGGTACCTAATAAAGTGGCCGGTGAGTGTATAGTATTGTTTGAAAGCTTAGAACCTCAGCTTTCATGACAATCCCATCACTTTTGTATTTATGTTACATAGAATAAGATAATATGGTCTAAATTTGACCCCCCCGCAACGACCCCGCCTTGAGAAAATCATATTTATGATATTAAATTTCATATTTATATCAAACAAACTCACCAAAAATAGACAAGTCATACATCAAATGAAAGCTCTCACTCTCAAGAATATCACTGTGCAGTTTATTTTACCGATCCAACACTTTACAGTAACATTATTATCCAAAGTATCACGAAAACGGAATCGAGTTTTTTGAACAAGCAAACACATGAGTCATATTCCTGTTCGGATCACTTCCTCCGTGTGGAGCTACTAGCCTCAAAAGCTATATCAGCCCAATAGAGCATCTTTGGGATGTGGTGGAACGGGAGATTCGCATCATGGATGTGCAGCCGACAAATCTGCGGCAACTGTGTGATGCCATCATGTCAATATGGACCAAACTCCCTGAGGAATGCTTCCAGCACCTTGTTGAATCTATGCCACGAAGAATTGAGGCAGTTCTGAAGGCAAAAGGGGGTCCAACCCGTTACTATTTAATATCCAACCGTCCTTAGGTTGTTTTCTTCAAAATGAGACCATTTTCACATGTCTTCGAGCATGCATGACCAAATGACACTGTAATATGTCACCGATGTCCAGATCAAAACATGCGATGCATGATAAGAGCAAATACTCGTATTAATCTTAGGTTTGATTGTCTTCGTTAGCCGCGATTTTTTGATGACGTCATCAAATACTGTGTCCTACGTCAAAAAAGCCGAGACTCTCAGCAATCCATAGACACGTCGATCATGCCTCTAGACCATTCAGGGACCGAGATATGCTATGACAAACTCGAGGAGGCGGGACTTCATCTTGATATGTCAGCGGGTGCTAGTGGTCATCGCAGACGAGTAGGAGTTGAGTTCGGGATAGTTTGGTGGTTTGGACAGTGTTTTTTTGAGTTATTGCGTGCTTTTTAAAACTGGTTGGAGTGTTTTGTCTTTGGACAATGGCTTCAAGGAAGGTTTTTGTCGGCGTGGAGGCTGTTTTGGCGGAGCTTGATCGAGAGAGCGACACTGAAACTTGCAGCAATGCAAGTTTTGACTCTGTTAGACAAGCTGCTTACAACGCTGGTGAAGATCCAGAATTTGAGTAAGTACACATTTCGAACTTATAAACGTTATATTTGTGTATTTCATGAACGAATGCATGCAACAAATGTACAAAATATCCATGCAACAGACATCGATAAATATCACAACCCATGCACGCTCTAATTCAATGTAGCATGGGTGGTTTTGCTAACGCATGTGCGTTTTTTTTTTTGTCGCGTAAATGTTTGTGCGTGTATATTTGAGATTTATTTTGCACCCAAAAACATATGCATGCAATAATAAACGAGCACAACCATGCATATATTCATCCCATAGTTAAAATATGTTTGGGAGCTTTTGCTAAGCTTTTTGTGCTGTTTGGTGCACACATGTGCTAAAAAGTTTTTTTTTTTTCATATTTGTAGTTTTGCACGTGGTGTTAATCAATTGCAATGGTTGCATGGAATGTTTCCAGGTGTTGCTCATCATGCATGTGTATTGTATCAAAAAGCAAATGCTCCCAAGCTTATTTGAACTAGGCCTATGGCATGCATATATATATATATATATATATTATATATATATATATATATATTTTTTTTTTTTTACATATTTTTCTATAATCTATTCTACATGTTTCTGTCACATTCATATTTGAATCGGTGCATGCATGAGTTGTACTCTATTTTTGCACACATGTATTTGTGTATCTTATGTGAATATGCAAATTATAATCTTGTATCTGTTATGTGCATATGTGAATTATTTTTGTGTGTAATATTACCATGCATTTCTGAATACAATGTGGATTTATAAATTTGTTTTGTTTTGCAGTCTGGACAGTGGTGATGAGTAAGGGTGCTCCGATTGATCGGTCGCCGATCATAATAGGCCGATAATTGCTTTGGGATGTGTGATCGGCGGTCTCTATAAAGGCCGATCCAGAAAAGCCGATCAGATGACGCAAAACTCGCGAGACAATTTTTTTACGCCCTGGTAAAAATGGCTTCACCGGTCTGGCAATTCTACAACAGGGCTCTCAAGTGTCAAGCATTGAGCGTGACAGTCACTCATTTCGGTCTTTTGTCACGCTCTCC